ATGAAGAAAAGCAAAGGTTGCTTTGTAAGATGATAAAATATATGGAAATGTGAAGGGTAACAAAAAATTTAAATCCATCATTGAGTCATACATAGATGGACTGCTGTACTTGGAAGATAGAACCTAAGGAAAATATGGTGCACAGAGTGAGAAAGAGATGGAACTCCTAACTTGGGCCTCACGCCCCCGACCTCTGCAGTTTGGCCTTATCTGATCCTCTTCCTTTGTGTGTGGATGTGACTGTGATGTTTTTAAATGACAAAGTGTGACAAATGTATGGGGCTACATGTGACTATAGGAACGTGGCTACATGTTTATGTTACATAAGACTGTCACAGTGGTCTTGTTAGAATCCTGTACTCCTATTTTTGGCTTTGGGGAAGTTAACAGTCCTCTTGGGTGAGACTCAGGTGGCCTGGGACTGTGGGCTGCCTCGAAGATGTGAGTCACAAAAAACAGTCACAAAAAACTGAAGCCCCCAGTGCCACAATCGTAAAGAATCAGATTCCACCACCAAGCTCTGTGAACTTGCTGGTGGATCCCTCCCCAATGGAGCTTCAGATGTAACTACTTCCCTAGGTGAGGTTGCTTTGTAAGAGCCTGAGCATGGGACACATTAAGCCATGCCCAGATTTCTGTGTCTGGAAACAGGGTGGTCATACACATGTGTCATTTTAAATCTGAGGTACAGTTTATTATAGAGCACTTACTAAATAATATAGACCGGTTTTATATATATGGACACATTGAGATATGGAATACAAAAAAGGTATCTGTAACATGAATCTCAAATTGATACACCAAGTCCAGCTTATTTCTTCAATTCCAAACTGAGACATTCATACTGATTAATTTATAATGAGGCTAACCTATAAAATTTTATTCTCATTCATTTATTCAGTAACTATTTAAAAAAATAATAGTCGCCAAGTGCAAGACATCCCCCTGTTAGGCCTACACCTTCTCCATATCACAAGGTGTTCCTTCCAAACTTTGTTAATCTAGCTGCTTTTCCACACTACCTTCACCTACATAAAGAAGCAGCAGCAGCATCTCCTCGCCTTTTCTCCGCAGCTCTGTAGTGGCTTCTTAACTCTGTTTTTCTGGACCTACTCTTGTCTTCCTAATGCATCCTTCACATAGAAGCTGAAGTGATCTTTGAAAACACAAGTGTGATTATGTGATTTCTCTGTTTGAAACCTTTCAAAGGCTCCCTGTTGCTCTTAGGTTGACAAACCAAGGTCTGTGCCGTGGCTCCAAAGGGCAGCGCAGCCCCCAGCCTCAGCCCTCTGGGGCTCACATTCCCTGCTCCATCCACAGGGCCCAGCCTGTGCAGCCCTTCTCCAGGGACTCTCACTGCTTCACGCCTCTCTCTACAGTCCAGCCCTGCTTACCTTCGAATCTAAGCTTCAGCTTTTGGAAATTTCCATGATCCTCCATATTCACATTTAGGAGTGGGGAAAACGCCCTTCTTATGGGCAATTCTTACAGCTAGCTCCACTGCCACCCTAGCCCTGACCTCACATGTGCCCTTCTCCATTTAGCAATATTTTCTTTGAGATTGTCAGCTTATTATGAGCAAGCATCATGTCTAATTCATTGCTGTATCCCCAGAACCTACAATGGAGCACAGCAGGTATTAGGTATTCTTTAAGCATTTGGTGAGTAAGTCTAAAAAGTAACAGAAGTAAAATAGTCTGTAGTAACAATAATATTGGCTGTTGAGAAACAAGATACCTTTGCTGGTTTCCTACTACATTACTAACTCAAATTTTACATAGTACCATTTCTAGAAAAGGTCTCATTTTATTTTTTATTTTTATTTTTTCTCTTTGTGAATTTAGGACAGGGTGCATAGGGTGTATAGGTTGTATAAGTCTCATTACATAGATTGGTCTCGTAGTGATTCTCCTGTTTTCAGCCTCCCAAACTCTGGGATTACAGGCGCACACCACCACGCCCTGTCTCAATTGCCATCTCAGTGTGCCCTGGGGTGGGGCCTGCCTGGCACACCAGGGATTGAACCCCAGCCTCTGCGCTCTGCCCAAGCAGGAGCTTTAGTCCTCTGAGCTACCTGGCCAGCTCAAAAGCTTCATTCTAATTTTGAAGAGTGAATATTAAGTAACTTAAATTTTAAAACCCATAAATGGAAAAATAATCTTTCAAAAATATTTAGTGAGTAGTTTAGAACATAAGATATTTTGATTGACCCTGTATTGAAAAGTTTGTGTATTTAAAAACTCTCTATCACAGTCTGGGTACAGAAGTTTTCAAATAATGATAATTGAATTTTGTTGTTTCTCCTTGCTACCAAAACACCAATTTCTCCAAATTTGCCTATGCTTTCCACTTGTGTTTTCTTCAAAAGGGTCCCCATGCACACCCACAGAGGAAGAAGCCTGGCTGAGGCCAGAAACACATCCACTGTAGTTCAGATATGAAATCTGAAAAATGAGAAGAACAAAAAGTTCTTTATGCAAGTAAATGCAGGCTATGTTTTAAAAGCTCAGTCCAGAATAGGGAGTTTGTGTTTGTCACTTAGGTGACCTGGTACCTCTTTAAATGTAGACTGAACAAAACAAAACTAACTTTCTCAAGGTCAATATAAACCAACAGTAAGAACAATTAGGATCACCAGTATTTCTAGAATGCTATTTCTTGCCGGAGAGCAGAAGTACACAAGATATCGTCCTTAGTATCACAGTGTTACTCACAGTGACACACGTGGGGAAAGAGGTTGTAATTCAGAACAGCACTACCATCTTTGTTTCATAGGTTAGTGGCATGTGTGCATGTGTGCGTGTGTGTGTATCTGTCTTGTGAATCACACACAAGGCACAATCAAGGGAAATAAAGACAAGCACCACCAGAAGATGAGAAAAGAAGATGCAGAAAAAAGTTTTATTTTTCATACAAATGTGTAAAAGCCATAGTCACACAGAACACAGCTGAAAATACAGAAGGATAAAGGGAAAAGAGATAGTATTTTTAAAAATCAGATATTTTATGACAGGATATTTGGAAAATTAGAAGAGTGACTGGGAATTACAGTGACAATAGAGACATCAGAACTGTGCAGAGAAAGAGCCTGTGAGTGAATATTTCTTAAGTCTATGTGGTAGAGTACATAAAACCTTGGAAAGGTCCATAAATACACAATTATAGATATATCTAAAAGGGAGTAAATGTGAAAACTACATGTATAGTCTGGCTCTAACCTATCCAGTGCTTACTGAAAATACTTGTAAATGCTGGTGGGAGAAGTTCCTCCAACTCTCTTGCCACAAAATTTCACTTTGGAAAAGATAATCTGAAGGCATAGTATGTTACACACAGCCTCGAATTTGAAGGATTAGTATAAAGGAAAAAATTAAACGTAGTTACTCCCTGGTTGAAGTGTCTGCCAGTACTACACAGGATATGAATTGGCTCTTGAAATCTTTTCTTACCATTGCAGAACAAAATGGAATTCATGCTCTTTGCTTTTATAAAGTACTATTTTGTCCTTTTTGTCTTGAATGGTACATGTAGTTTTACTTCGGTCATTTCCACAAAAATAACCCCAACTTTTAAAAAACAGAACTAAATATGCATTAGGTATTATCCAAAGGATAAATAATCCTTGTATTTTCTAAGGCAGCTTCTAAATACATAGACACATTTAAAATATGGCATCTCAGGTCATTGTTATTTTAACTGCGCTATAAATTAATTCACAGAATCAAAATATTTTCCCAAGGTTTGGCCTGATAGCTCAGCAGACTAAAGTACCTGCTTAGGTAGATGGAGCAGCTGGAGTTTGATCCCCAGTGTGCCATGCCAGCTCCGCCCTGGAGGCATGCTGAGATGGCGATTGAGACTGGGTATGTGGCGCGAGCCTGTAATCCCAGCACTTGGGAGGCTGAAAACAGGAGAATCACTACAAGTCCGATCTGTGTAGTGAGACCTTGTAGGTCCTGTACCAAATACACACACACACACACACACACACACACACACACACAAATTCCCTTTCAAATAATATCTCCTTTGGAAGAACACATGCACAAAAGATATTTAGTATAAAGGACAATATGTCAGTAAATATTAACAAAAAAGTCAACAAAGTCAATAATTTATCAGAAATTGACAAACAGTATTGTATTTGTGTGGAAAGAAAAAAATATTGGAAGATGAAATAGAGAGAGGGTTGTCTGTCTTTCTGTTTGAAGAAAGTCTCATAAAGTCAGAAATACTTGCAAGTGTAACTTGAATATGATACCAGATCATTCTTCGCCTACATTTTCAGGGATGTAATTCCTTGTTCTCTTTTGTCTCTGTCTCTGTGTCTCTGTCTGTCTGTCTGTCTGTCTGTCTGTCTTCCCTCTAACAGAACTGGCAACGATTTCTTTGAAAAAAATTATATATATATATATATATATATATATTAATTTTCAAATTTTCATGTCATAAATAATAGAAGAGAATGAAAAACATTAGTAGAAAGAGAATCAGCGGATGAGTCCAATTTGCAATAAGAAAGCACATACAAAGATAGATTGGGGGAGAAAATGGTTTCTGAATTGCAGTAGCAACAACTCAAATATGGAAGTTTGCAGAGTGATAATATAATTGCAGTAAATACACTCAATAACGAGATGCGTGTGTCTATGTTAAGAACTTTCTTTTTCATTTTTAGGCTAGAATCGCGAACTATTTTATACAGACACAAAGCATTTGTGAAATGCTTGAAATAGGCCTTGACTTCATTTTTATTTTCAAGCTGTTTTTTATTTTACTTTCTCCTCGTACTCTTCTGTTTTAGAGATCTAAAATGAGTCAAGCCGTTTCTTGAAATTCAGCGGCTTTTCCCCTTGAGAATGCTCAAAGGCATGCTAATAATCCTCCTGCTCGCCCCACTCCACCACCGGCTCATCGTTCATGCGCAGAACGAGGTAGGAGAGGAGCTGAAAGAGGTTCTGCCACAGCAAGAGAGAGACATACAAGGAGAGGCCGCTTACGTCCAGCTCGCAGCGCTCGCCCGCGAAGGCCACGTCGCACACGCACTGGAACCTGCCGGGGAGGTCCTGGCACAGGCCTCCGTTGACGCACGGGTCAGAGGCGCACTCGTCCACGTCGTCCTCGCACCTTGAAAATCGACAGAAACACCGGGCCCCAGAGCCCAGCTTGAGCGTGTGGACTGCGGAAGCCCTCTGCCTTATCCAGCTCAATCTGCACGGTCTTAGCTCCCAACTCCCAGTTTTTATATTTGATGATAGGGGAGATGTTTCTTAAAATCCCTTTCACAGCGTTTGGCTTTAGTAGAAATAACTTGTGCACACACACACACACACACACACACACACGCACCGACCGAATTAAGCAAAATGACAGGGCAGGCACAGGTATTTAGAAACTGTGAGGAACAGGCCATGCTAAATTAACTTTCTCCCTCAAGAACACTGGTGGATTTGCCACCTTATAAATATTTATTAGGTGCACAGACAAACAGGAAGAGTGAGGCTCTATTTTGCCAACTAAGATTCCACAGAGCAACCTACACAAGCAGTTAGAATCTAATGCCACAGTGCCCCTGGCTAGCCACCTAACACGGGTTTGGGGGCGCGCGCGCACACACACACACACACACACACACACACACGAATATAAAAGTGTAATTCTGGGAGATTTTAAACTATTTTTCTTTGAAGTTCTATTTTTGACATAAACAGAAGTAGCTAATAGAAGATTTCACTTTCCAAAAAATAAAATAAAATCAACTTTCCAAAAGTTAAGCACAATTTGTTTCAATAAAATGATTTTCAATGCCAAACTTTCAAAAAGAAACAACATGAATTCTAAGGTAAGTTGAAGTTTTCTTCTTCTCTGAGCATTGTCCTTTTCTGCCTAATTTTCCACCAAAAACTTGCTTTCTACCTAATACATAAAACATAAAAATGTATATAATCATGGAGTACCACATAATATTTTGACACATGTGATGTGTACATCAGGTTAAACATATCCTCAAATACATCATTTTTTTCTGGCGAAGCGCTTTAAATTCATTTCATCTAGCTGCTTAAAATAGTAGTTTATCATTATCCATAGACAACAACCTGCTTTTCTGTGTAGACAGTGACCAGTTCAACAACACTCATATCGTCATTCTGTACTTATTTATTTACTATGTGTTGAACAGTGTCCTAAGACCACAGGAGGAAACAGCAGCAAACACATCTGTATTTTAGGAAATTCACATAAAATCTTAGCTTCAAAGATTTCTTCAACAATCTTATGATGTAGAAGTTACACCTTTTCATTTTTCACCTCCCCCCAGTAGAGCTTCCTTGTTGGGGTCAGAGCCTAATCGCAGGCTCAGAATGAGAGGATGAGGTCATGTGGCGGTGACAATCCAAAGTGTAAAAGAAAAGGAAGATTTCTCCCAGGAAAAACAACTCCTTATCCTGTGAGATACCAAGCATAGCTGAGACATTTTATTTTCCTTTTTTGGCTTAAGCTTCTGGGCTGGAAAGAGACTTCTTTGATTAGAGCTGAGCAAAACTTGACAACTCACAGGAGCTTGCCAAGCATTCTGTGTCCTGGGTGGGCCAGAGCGTGTGCATCATCCATCATTCACAACCTGCTGGACTGATACAAGAAAGCTGAAGGTTTAAGCAGGCGGGGGAGAAGCCAAGGCCTTAGAGGACAGTTTTTCAGTATCCTTGGATGTTATAGAAGGCTCATTTCCCTAGTCCTTGAGAAAGAGCCTCAAATTTTCTAGTCTTTCTCTATCTACTATTTTCTCCCTTCCTTACCTATTTCTGTTTTGTACTAAACAGTGAATGATACACATGAATGTATTATGATCACCCATGGAGCTTTAATTAGAAGAGTATATAATATATA